GTGTATGTTGACAATGAGCTGAAGTTATCAGGCCATTGCGAGAAGATGGTAAATCAGGCAAATAAATTATTGGGTCTTATAAAAAGGTCGTTCAGATATCTAGACGGTCCGTCCTTCATAACGATCTTCAAGAGTGAAGTGCTAAACCCATCTGGAGTACTGTCACCCCGTCTGGTACCCGAGATATGCTAGGGGCTGTCAGTTGGTTGAAAATGTTCAAAGGAGGGCCACCAGGCTGATGCCTGCACTTCGGCACCTCAGCTACCCTGAGAGATTGGAGCGCCTGAATTTGCCTAGCTTATACTACAGACGGGCAAGGGGTGACCTAGCTGAGGTGTATAATCATCTCAGGGGACACTACTCAGTCGAGTGTCCTTACTTGGAGCTGGCGGACGCTCGCCCCACCAGGGGTCACAGCACAAGATTGAAGAAGCCGCAGATCCAGAAAACCGTGAGCGCAAACTTTTTCAGAGTGAGAGTTGTGACCTCTTGGAACAATGTACCAGAAAGTGTTGTGACGGCACCGAGTGTGAGCTCTTTCAAGACAAAACTTGACCAATACTGGAGTGGGTTCAGGTACATTCAGGAGCCAGTGCATGCCCAGTACTTGCCAACAGTGTGTAACAGAGACGTGACCGATCGCCCAAGCGGCTAACGAGCCGATCAGTGGTGAAGAGGACAAAAGTAAGAAGTTAACTATTCTTTCCTTATACTTTCTTTTCCAGTTCTCATCAACGAATATATCTCTTTGTGCTATCACTGTGTACACTATATTTCCCTATGAATGGTGGATTGTAGGCACAGTTTGAGTCCTTGAGAAAGCACACAAACAAAATAAAAATAAAAGTCTCTGTGGCACCAATAATACGACTTGGTTTCTGCTGGCAGTGGTGCCTCACCAGCTTGCTTACCAATTTGTTCTTCACTTTAAGTTATTTACAACCTCTTCCGTGGTCACTGATGACACCATTAACTGATTTAACTAAAGACACAGTATTACACTGCCTGGTTGGCCTTTATTACAGCTATGACCACAACTCCGTAAAAAAAAAAAAAAAAATAAAAGTCTTGCTATGTGGCAATCATTTTGTGGTTGTAGGCCTCTTGACCTGGGCTGTACCTCCAAATCAGTGGAGATTGAGTTTTCAAATATACAATCGCATCTAGCAATAAATATCCTACATCGATTTACTCTTTCACATCACTAAGACGATCTTGATGATCTTATGTAATCACTGTTCAATTTTTGCTGCTCAACAACGAAGGCCCGAATGCCAAACACGCTTTGTTACAGAGATGCAACACGACCCGACCCACACTGAATATGGAGTTATGTTGCTTAAATGCCCAGCATGGGTTATCAGGTTCCAGTGTGACTAGAGAAACAAGCTTCCTTGAGATGTTTCAATCTTGTCCAATCATGTTGTTTAAATTGCTAAAAGTATTGTACTTGTACTGTATTGTAGTGTAGTATTACTGGAAAATAATGCTATGATTATGTTATAAATGTATTTATTTGAAGAATTCTTATTCCAATAATTATTTCCACGCATTACTTGCTCTACCAAACACAAAGACAGCCAGACAGACTGCGTGTGTGTCGCCGAGCGTTGTTTATGAAAAATAATGCAGATAAAATAAATTCTAAATGAATTATTTATAGGAAACAAGTACAGTCAACCCTCACTTTACGCGGTCCCACATTCCGCGTTTACGCGGTACCCTGCCGAAACCAGGATGCTCACATTCCGCGGTGCGTGTACCCCTTTACGCGGAGAGTGTCTGGCTCGACGCTATTTTTAGATTCGCCCCTCCCGCCTGCTCCCGCCTCCGCCTGGGCAAGCCGCGCGGTAAGGTTGCACAGTGCATGTCTCTGTTGCGTTATCAGTGACGTCATATGACGTATCGGACTGTGATTGGCCATGCATCCCTACCTCCCTCCGCTGCTAGCTGTAATTGGTTTAAAGTAATATGACGTGTCCACCTGGGGAAGGGAGGGAGAGAGGAAAGACGAGGCTTGACCTAGCCGCGGCAGTTTCATCCCTCCAGGCCACACCGTGTAATCGTGCATCCATTGTTCTGTAAAATGGCTTCCGCCGGACCACCGCCCCCAGAGAGAAACCTTTCCTTGCCTGGACCCAGCCGCCCTAAGCCAAAGAAGACACGACGTTCCTTAAGCTACGAGGTGAAGTACAAGATCATCCAAGAGTTGGAGAAAGGAACAAGACAGGTTGATTTGGCGCGCCAGCATGGTGTGAACGAATCTACGATCCGGACGATAAAGAAGGATGCAGCCAAGATAAAGGAGCACATGAACATCACAAAGTCTACAGGTGCTTCTATGATAAAGTATTTCCACAACCAGGTGCTTCTCAAGACGGAAAAATTACTTGTGAGCTACTTGGTGCGTCAGGCGCGACGGAACATGGCAGTGGACACGCGCTCTGTTAAGGAGTACTCACTTGAACTGTATGCTGCAGTGTCACAAAAGATGGGAATTACAGAGCCCAAACCCATTAATGCTTCCTCTGGGTGGTTACAGAGGTTTAAGAAGAGGAACAAGATCACCAATATCAACATTGGTGGTGAAGAAGCTAGTGCTGACCGTGTTGCGGCTAGGGAATTTCCTCCGTTTTTACGTGAGATTATGGAGGAAGGACAGTACACCGACGACCAAGTGTTTAACATGGACGAATCTGGTCTTTTTTGGAAAAAGCTACCTTCCAAGACCTTCGTTGTGAAGAATGCCAGCAAGTGTCGGGGCCGGAAGTTGCAGAAGGAGCGCATCACCGTCCTGTTTACCACCAATGCCTCCGGTACCTGTAAGCTCAAGTTATCGGTGATCCACACAGCACGCAAGCCGCACGCCTACATGAGCATGGACATGACCAAGCTAAATGTCCACTGGCTGACCGCACGTAAGGCGTGGATGTTCTCTACACTGTCCCTCTCCTGGTTTGATGACTGTTTCGTTCCCAATGTGAAGAAATTCTGTGAGCAACAGAATGTGCCATTCAAGATTTTGTTGGTGCTGGACAACGCACCAGGACACTCGCCCCTACTGTTGGATCGTCACCCCAACGTAAAAGTGGTCTTCCTTCCTCCCAACACTACGTCTATATTACAGCCCATGGACCAAGAGTTAATCTGTAATGTAAAAGCTGCATTCTCTACGAAAAAATTCAAGCTCCTGAACGACTACACCAACACCAGGGAAGAGTTGCGTAACCTGAGTGACACCACCACCGATAGCAAGAGCGAAGACGACGAGGATCAACAGTTGGCAGAGCAACAAGTACTTTTAAAAAATTCTGGAGAATATTCAACATCAAGAAAGCTGTGGACTTCTTGGTGGAGGCATGGGATCAGCTATCTGTAGCAACTGTTCGTCACGCATGGAGACGTGTTGCAAGGCATTCCGGCCGTTAGGCAGAGTCAATCTGTGACTGGTGAGGTTCAGACTGTTGCAGTAGCAGTGGACCTTGCCAGAGAAGCTGCGCAGAGTGTTACAGCTGCAGGCTTCTCCGAGACCACCAACGACGACATCCTGGAGGTGATAAGGGATCCTGATGTGACTACCGACGAGATGGTAGATAATGATGACGTCAGTGAAGAGGCAGGTGGTGCGTCATCCCAAGAAGAAGACCGCTTATCCCATAGTAATGTTAGGGGTGCCATCGAGTGTATCGAGAAAGTCAAGCTCCTCCTTTCCGACGACCCTGACGCAAACAGGTATGAATTCTTCACTACCCAGCTGTTGCAGACTATGGAGCCCTACTTCAAGGTTTATCATGACAACATAAACACCAGCAGTCAGCAAAGCATAACAGAGTTCTTCGCCCGCAACCCACCACAGCCAGCCCAAGCCAGTGATAGTGACAGAGGTAGAGACAGTGATGATGACTTTGAGGAATTTGTCAGGGAGGCCCTGACAAGTGTGGATGACAGTGATGGTGACTCACCTGAGGGCCAGTAGCCTGCCCTCTGCCTCGGAACCAGCCTCCATTCCCGTACGCCGACCCATCTCTTCTACTAACGTAAGTGTTACCCCCAACCTTTATTTTTCCTAACTTAACCTTTATTTTTCCTAACCTAACCTCTTCTGTATTAATTGTGTGTGCATACCATCATAAAGTTAAGATAATATTTTTACTACAACATAGTTGTGTGTCGTCAAAAAGTGGAGTTTGGGGGTCGGCCCGGTCTCTATTTCAATTAATCCCATATGTTATGTTGTTCACTTTAAGCGTTTCTCACTTTCCGCGGTACCCTGTGGGTTGAATTAACCGCGTAAAGTGAGGGTTCACTGTATTATGATCAGTAAATATATTCATTACTGGCAATCTCGGACATAAAGGCAAGCTGAAAATAGCTGCTAAGTGCGTAGTGATCACGAGTGATCGCCGTTAACAAGCTGTCCCCTTATCTCCCTCCCTCCACGCTGCCAGGGAAGTTTCTAGAGGGGGCAATATATAGTTTTTCTTAATTACTTTTTATTGTTTTATCATTTAAAAAGGTTAAAAATTATGATTTACCCCCGGGTCAAATGAGGCAGAAAGTCAGATCAGCAACCTGGGGCTTGGTCACAATTTTTGTGATGCCATATGGCAGCAGGGTCTACCATTAGATAACACATTGATAACATTTTGCATTTCCTTTAACATTCCATATTATGCATCTTATGGAAGAGTTATGTTTTTTTAATACAAATTGTTTTGTTGGAACAAAAATTTCATACTTTATTTTTATCAACATTATTCTCTTTCCAACAAAATGGGGTGAAACAGCTGAAACAAATCTCAAAGAAATAAGAAGAGAATGCAAATGTTTGCCAGTTTAAGATTAGACAAAGTGATGCCATTGTGGTGATAATAGCATTAGATAAATTTTTCTTGGAAAAAAGACGAAGCATCCACTAACTACTGTATTGTAAAAAAAAATAAAACTTGAGATTGAACAAAGAATACACTGGTTACTATTGTACTAAACATGATACTCACCCATTTCTCCAACAAAAGAGAGTCTGAGGGCACGAACTTTATGTCCAGCAATAGTAATAACTTTGTGGGTGGAGAAAGGAAATGCTTCATCACTAAAGTCTTCTTCAGTAACCTGCTGCAGAATGGCCCTACTGTTAAGGCCTTGCACAGACAACATGGCCATGTTTTCAGTGTGGTCCAACACTTCCACATCCCACTGGTGAGTCCTCACTTCTTTTAAAACATGGGCCAAATTTTGGAGTGCCGCTGCCCCACCTGCAGCTAGGTAGAATCCCCTACCTGCGAAGGTGGGATCACAAGCTGATCCTTGGCCCCCCTCACATATACTCTGTGGCAAAAAGACACCATAAACATATGATTGCACTAAAAGGTAGCACTAACATTAAGTTAAGAGATACAAAAATTAAGAATTACACATATATCTGCCTTGTAAATATTTTAAAACTTTCATTTTCAAGTATGACTTACAGGGGGTCCCTGGGTTACGAACGTCCGACTAACGAACACCCGCCGATACAAAAGAAGTCCCATAAGGTCAATTATTTTAAGAATTCAACATAGGTACAACTGGTTCGTAGTATTTGTGGGAGACCCAGGTGATGCTTCCAATCAGGGGTAAAGGAAACACACTGGTGTCAAGTTCGTAAGTTCTATTTCTGGGACAAACACACAAAAGGAGTTAAGACGGGAAAACAGCGTCCTGTCTTGGAATCTCTCTGGGTATCTCTGTCTGCGCATGCGCGTACAGCGCGCATGTGCCTAAAACATGAACTACACTCAGTGACAAAAGGGGGTATGATTATAACATATAATACAGAGACCTGAATCAATAATGGTAAATAGTACAGTTACATATTACAGCATATTCATCTCATATATCTACAGTATTAACATACAAGAACGCGTTTGCATCGCGTAGCAGCGGGTGGGGAGTAATGTGTCACCCAGCCACACGCCTTGAGGGAGCGTCAGTACGCCTTACCCTCACTTCAGTATCGTGTATGATCAAGTGCAAACTGTTGTTTTTTGCTCAATAACTTTATTTTTCTGCCCTTATCATGGCTCCCAAATACAAACCTGATGTAAGTGATAGTAGTGCATCCAAGAAAAGGAAAACATTTACAATGGAAGTGAAAGTTGATGTAATTAAACGTTCTGAAAAAGGCGAAATACCCTAGTCATTGGTAAAGCGTTAGGCTTCAGTGAGTCAACGATCAGAAAAATTGTGAGACAAAAACAAAAAATTATTGAACATGTAAAAGGATATACACCAATGCCCTCAACTGTGATGACAAAACAAAGAAGTGGATTGATAAATGAAATGGAAAGATTGTTAGTGATATGGGTGGAAGATCAAAATCACTCCTACTAAAGCCCATCTCTACATGTAATCCAGCCCCAGGTTTTAATGTAAATGTTAAACTTTAATTTTTACTTTCATTTGCTGTATTTTGTCATTCAATTTCTTCTTTTCTCTTAAATTAATTTATTCTAAATGTATACTTTTACTTTACTTTTATCGCTTGGGCGATCGGTCACGTCTCTGTTACACACTGTTGGCAAGTACTGGGCATGCACCAGCTCCTGAATGTATCTGAACCTGCTCCAGTGTTGGTCAAGCCTGGTCTTGAAAGAGCTCACACTCGGTATCGTAACAACACTCTCTGGCAGATTTTTTCAAGAGTTCACAACTCTCACTCCGAAAAAGTTACCCCCCACGGTTTTCTGGGCCTGCGGCTTCTTCAGCCTTGAGCTGTGACCCCTTGTGGGGTGAGCGTCCGCCAGCTCCAGGTAAGGACACTCGACTGAGTAGTGTCCCTTGAAATGCTTATACTGTATACCTCAATTAGGTTGCCCCTTGCCCGTCTGTAGTATAAGCTAGGCAAGTTCAGGCGCTCCAATCTCTCCAGTATAAAAAGGCTTAGACTATGATAATGTGCACACATGGAATGTGTTCCGACTTATATACATTTCCGAATTAAGAACGTCTTCAGGAACGGAACTTGTTCGTAACCCGGGGACCCCCTATATGTTTTCCTCTTTTATATATGGTTTTTCTATACACAACGTTCAGATAATAGAATCCTTTTTGAAGACTATAAATACCTTGGTACTGTACTCACCACAGTAAGATCTGCTTCAATGCCAGCTTTGTGGTTTAACATGCAGGTATAGACTGTGGTGCCTGGGGCACGGGACACATCTGCTGAGAAGAGCCAGTCAGCAGCCTTCTGGGCATCGTTTCCCGTCAGGTAGAACTTGCCAAAGTAGGACATGTCAAATATGGCAGCTGTCTCACGGCATCTTAAGCACTCTCTTTGGATCTGGCTCAACACAAAGTCCATACACACAGTTAGGATAAGTGGTTACTGGATGTATCTCCTTACAATATCACTGTTTTATACAATGAAAAATTACATATATAAACATAAATGTCTGAACATAACAATTTACTTATTCAAGATAATGCATAAAAGAAATCTGTTCCACTGACACTTAAAAAGAAGCTTTTTTGACAATGACACTTTTTGAATAAAGGCTACTAAATATCTACTCACCATGTGATGATGAGATGGAAAGTCAAAAGAGTAGTCAGCTGTGAGGAGAGTCTTGTAGCTATTATCATTGTTGGGTGGGGTGTCGTAAGCACCATACCAGTCATAGGTTTGTGTTGGTGCTGGCTCCTGGTTGAACCAACCAGGTCGCTCCCAACCATGTCGCTCCTGGAAAACACAACCCTCATCTGCCAGCACCTGTTGTGGAGAAGAATATAATTAATGTATAACGGCACATCTATGACTCAAGCATTGGAACTGTCCATTAGCATATCTATATTTCTGACTCCATCATGGTTTCCAAATGAATTTCTACAAAACCAATATAGTGAGATACCATAATCAATTAGCATCATTAACTGAAGACGAATAAAAGATACCGTCTTTATGTTTTAATGAGTTGTCATAAACATTCTTGTCTAGTAAAAAAAGGACCAAGGTTCAATGTTTATACACAATGGAACTTTGGCAAAGTTCATCTGTACCATTTGCCTGTCTAACCAGCAATAATTTTGGACCAGCTGATTAGTGGCCTATATTCCAGGGTAACAGTCAACTAGTACACTTGTCTGGTCTTCCTGGACTTACCCTTGACACTGGGTTACACAGCTCATTATTCAAGCATTTGGTATTAAGCGAACAGTAGAATCTATATCTTTTAACATACTCCGACCTAGTTGGTCTTATGATTTGCTGTACTCAAACACAAGGGATAAATGCTTCTAGACAATCATTTAAAGATAAAGAAATCAAATCAAGATCAAAGCACTGTGAAGTGAAGTAACTCAGGCAAACAATTACGCTTACAATAAATTGGAAAGTAACACATGAGATCAAGTGATTCACAATACTTTCTCTTACCTGAGGTTAAGGGGTTATATCCTTGGTTCCAAGATGGCATAATATTGTTTTAGAAACCTGTTTTTTTGTTTAAACAATGATTATAGTTCAGTATAGTAGAAGTATACAGGATGCCTTGAGAAATTTACATTGTGTATCTCCTTAATACACCTTATTTGTTGTACTGCATATTTATGTTCGGAGTTATAGTTCCATAGACATGTTATAAATACATCCACATAAACAAATCAATTCCAGAAATAGCAATGAACAATCTGTGAATCCCAATATGACATCTTTATTCTCAAGTATAACAATCTGGTCTATTTATACCTTAAGGAATTATTGAACAGTATTCCTAACTGTGTACAGTACCTGATGAAGAGGCGACTGTCTTTGTCCTCGACCAGCTAGAGGCTCATCATGGGGAAAAACGATGCTGTAGTTCTTAGCATATGATTCATGGGAACGGGCCAGAACCCACGCCTTGTTGATGTTGAGGGGTGGGTGGAACCTCCGGATATCGTAGCCAAACATGTCAATATCTGGGCGGCCATAAGCCACCCATCTTGCAATCTGGTCTCCACAGCCTCCACCCAACATCATACCACTGCTGTTGAATCCACAGCAGTGGTAAAAACCTTGGACGTTGGGGTCCTCTCCTGTTGCAGTAACAGCAAGTTGTAAATTTACTGTTACAAAATTTGTACATATTTTTTGTCTACTTCTGCCTTACCTCTAAATTTTATATTCAATCAAGATTATACAAAGTAAAGGATTATTGTGAAAAAAAAGAAGAAATATAAAAGGAACTCAGAAAATACAAATGGTGAATAGAATAAAAAGATAAGAAGTAAACATTGAGAATCAAGAAAATGTTACAAAAGTAGAAGTCGTCCTAATTAGTGAGTATTTATATGGTAGGTAAACAGATTATGAGCAACAGATCATAGTTGAGGAAAAAGGACAGTGAAGCTGAGGTATGGTAAAGACTGGAGTAGCTGAGAGGGATACAGATATACAGGAGGTCCCCCGACTTATGAACGTCCGACTTACAAATGCCCACCAATACGAACGGGGTTAAATGTAAAATTTACAGTACGGTATAGTCTGGGTTTACGCGGATATTTTATACACGGACGGCCATTTACGCGGCACCTGTCCAGAAGCGATAATTATTATTTACAGGGTAAATGCCATTATATACACGGCAAGCGACGGGGCCACGTCCTGGGCGTTGACGTCACCGCTGACATCAGACTCGCGCCGGTGACGTCGCGGACTGTGATTGGTCTATTTATCCTTGCCACCCCTGCCACCCACGCTCTCCACCACCGCTGTGCCAGTCTCACTGTCCCCGCGTATATTCACTCGTGCCCGAACCGGTTTTGTTTTTTCTTTCTACACAATGGCTTCCGCTGGACCCCCACCACCCCCGAGAAGCCCTGAACTACCTGGCCCAAGCCGGCCCAAGCCGCCCCAAGCCCAAGAAGGTGCAATGCGCCTTAAGCTATGAGGTAAATTATAAGATCATCCAGGAGTTAGAAAAAGGCACGAGCCAGGTGGATCTGGCCAGACAATATGGAGTGAATGAATCGACGATCCGCACTATCAAGAAGGATACGGGCAAAATCAATGAACACATGAACATTACCAAGTCTGCAGGTGCCTCGCTGGTGAAATATTGCCACAATAAGGTGCTGTTGAAGAGCGAGGGTTTGTTGGAAAGCTACATTATTCGTCAGTCGAGAAGGAACATGGCGGTCGACACTCGGGCACTGCAGGACTACACCCGGGAACTCTATGCAGCAGTAGCAAGAAAAATGGGGGTTGCAGAGCCCAAGCCCTTCAGTGCTTCCGCTGGGTGGCTGCAAGGTTTTAAATCACGCAACAAGATCACAAATATCGAGATAGTCGGAGAAGGAGCAAGTGCCAGGAAATGCCAGGAGCCCTATGTTCAGCTGTATCACGACCATATCGATGCCAGCCGTCAACAAAACATCACCGAGTTCTTCACCCGCCACCCACCACAGCCAACCCAAGTCAGTGATAGTGAGGATGTGGACTTTGAGGGGTTTGACGAAGAGGCCCTGGTAGCGTCTGTGGTGGATAGAGATACAGGTGAGGGCCAATAATCTGCCTTCTGCCTCGGAACCAACCCCCCATCCCCGTGTGCCCAGCCATCTCTTCTACTAACGTAAGTGTTAAAAAACCTAATATTATTGATATTTCTCTTGTATATTAATTGTGTGTGCATACCATCATTAAATTAAGATGTTATTTTACAACAATGTACGTATTGTGTCGGCGATAGCCAAAAAAAAGGGTAGTCTGGCGGTCGGCCCAGTCTCTATTTCAATTAATCCCATAGGTTCTGTTATTTTTTTTTATGCGTTTGCTTTATACGCAAACCTCCATGGGTTTAACTAACAGCGTAAAACCAGACTATACTGTATTTTATTTGCCCGAGGACTTATTTATTACTTTCATTTCCTGTATTTTGTCACTTTATTTCTTCATTTATCTTAAATTAAGTAATTTTAGATGTATATAAGGACTTATGCTATGATAGTGGAATCTTAAACATTGTTTTGTAAGTATGGTATGCATATAGCACGTGTTCCAACTTACGAAAGTCCTCAGGAACGGGACCCGTTCATAAACCGGGGACCACTTGTATATAAGGAGAGATGATTCACTGTAGTATAACTAAACATTACAGGTGAGGTGGTTCAGTATAATACAATTAAACATAAGTAATGCATTATACCACTATCCTGGATGGGGAGATTTACAATTAAAATTCTACAATTAGTTCTTAAGTGACTGAATAGGAGATAGCAAATGAAGGGAAAGTCTGTGCGACATGACTAAAAAAAATATTCTAGCTTATACTTGGCAAATACAAAGAACTATCAAGCAAACATTAAAAACTACTATGCCGTACTCAATCTGTTTTTCATAAACTTGAGAACTGAATAAAGAACTGACCCATTATTGGCTTGTGGTCTGGAGTGAATGACTCTGGCCCACACACAGTGGATTTGATGCCCGTTGTTTCTAGAACGGGCACACGGTTCACCGCCCCATCGATGTGTGCACTGAACACGTCCCAGTCCAACTCATACAATCCAAAGGCGAACTCCTTATCCAGCTGCAGGGGTTGGGAGTACATGTACAGTATAAGGACGTGAGTGTGAGGTAGATAATACAATATCTTTATACATCTGTAATGGCAAGGAGATTAAAGAAATAATCTCGTATGCAAAGTTCTGTTTAAGTGTGAGAGCAAAATTGCATGGAGAATATTGTTCATGCCCTATGAAAAAATTATCCTATTTGTGAGTGTAAGGAAAACTATGCTTAGTTGTGAGTAGATGTTGAGTAGGGAATTGTAGTTTGTACAATATGAAGAAAATCTTTTGTCAGCTACAAAAGCTAACATTGTACTTCAACGGTGCAAGTTTAACCGAGGTGGCCAGAGAGAGTAAGAGATTTAAGGTGAAACTTGAAAAATCATGGTGTAGCTGACTAGGCAAGGAGGAGGAGGAGGTGGATGATTACAGTAAAGTACAGGTAGTCAAATTATAGGTGAGTATGTCAAGGAAGGCTGCAAGTTTGTTTTAAAATTTGAATTAACTGAATAGAGAGATACACAAAGTACTGTACTGGGTCTGAGAATGGTGGAGACTGATAGGAGAGTTATGTGACAGACATGGATTCAAAAAATCAACTGCAAGCCTTTGAGGATGGCTAAAGGAAGAAGTGATAAAGTTTGAATAGCTTTAAGGCAGGGGTGGCCAAAACATAGACTGCGATCTACCAGTAGATCACAAAGCAATTTCTAGTAGATCACAGGATGGGTAATACCGGCATAGCTCATAAACAGGAATCCTACAGCTACAGTACAGTAAACATGGCAACACTGCCAAATGCACGACCAGTCCATTATTACAAATATATTGTGATTTTTGTTATCTCTATTATTGGTAGCAATGTAATGACCACGGTCGTACACGTCAGTTAACGTAAAATTAGTCGATTCATATTATGCTCAATAGCCCACAAAACACTTAGCTATGCCTTTTTTATTGAGTCCCCCATCTGAGGCGTCCGTTTTCTCATCGCTTCAGGATACCTGAGTCCTCCGTTTACCCTCAATCTTAGAGTGCACCCGAGACTCCGTATTCCTTAGTATAATGACACAAAACTTGGAATTGCAACTGTAGTCGTGTCTGTTAAGGCATCTTAGATATGTCTGATTACAGATGAAACATTCAAGATCCCTTGTGAGTGATATTGAAGGCTTCAACTGTCTTTATTGTTAGTGAAACTTGTCAAGTAAGTGAGTGTCAAGTCTGCCAATATGAGCGGCATGTCCGTATATCGTCCTTGGGGATAGCCATGAGTATATAAGTACAGGTTGTACCTCTCTAGTCTGGCATTCTGTGGTCCGGAGTTTGTCCAATAGGTAGATAGGCAGCATTTTTTTTTTTTTTTTACTTATCTTATTATTATTATTATTACAGGAGTATTAAATTTTTGCCCCTCAGGGCCCAATGTGGGTCAGTGACCTATGCCCGGGTGGGCTAATCCCCGTAAAAAACAACAACAACAAAGCCGTGGGAAATTAAGGTTTGTTTACATCCGGCAATTCGGCTGCTCTCTTTCTCTCTCTCTCTCTCTGCTTGTCTATACAGAGTACAACATTTAACCCTTCAATATATATGAGCAGTAAATAAGTGTTGCTTTCATATTCTTATGTAGAGTAATGACGATATGTTTTCACATGTGCGCAGTTACATACGCGCAGTCTCACTTTTTTTTTTACCATTAATGGCTAGCTACTTATATTGTTCCATTTATTAACATTAAATAACATTACAGGTACTTCAAACAACCATATTAATTTTTTTACATTAATTTTACTCCAGCTACAATCAGGGTCTTATTTTCTTCAGTTTTATATGTAGAACCAATCAGTCACTGGTTTTGTAAGCTTTAACATAAACAATGCCGGCAGCCGTCTCGTCTCATCGTGTGTTTTAATATTCCACGTATTATTAATAAATTGTATTGTTAATTTTGCACACACAAATATTAATTCATTAAAAACAAATTCAGAAACATTAATTAAAATATATATGAACAGTAAATAAGCGCTGCTTTCATATTCTTATGTAAAGTAATGATGATATGTTTTCACGTGTGCGCACTTACATACCATTATCGTTAGCTACTTCTATTGTTCCATTTATTAACATTAAATAACATTACTTAAAACAACCATATTCATTTTACTACAGCTACAACCATGGTCTTATTTTCTTGTTTTATATATAGAACCAGTCAGTCACTGGTTTTGTAATCAACGAAAACAATGCTGTGTCATTTCCTCGTGTGTTTTATTATTCTACGTATTATTAATGAATTGTATTGCTCATTTTGCACACAAAAACATTAATTCAATAAAAAGGACATTCAGTAATAAACAATAATGAATCTTTTGTACATAAGAGAAATGACGCTGTTTACACGATTATGCACGTCGTCTGCACGTTGGCGGGCCGTTCAAACCCGTCGAAATTCAAGTTTCCGCCGTCAAATTTTTTATTTATTTATTTATTTTTTGTGTGTTCCAATAAAATAAGTTGACTTAAAAACTCGCGAAATTTGAGAAGCTACTATACGACATTTAACCCTTCAATATGTCTTCAAAGAGACCATGATGCAGAGAAAGTGGTGCTAGTGCTTCCAAGCATAAGCACAAGTCACTATCTATCCAGGAAAAGGGTGAATTTCCATGGTCCGGCACCGGTCTGGTCCCGAGGTTGCCGGACTAGAGAGGTACAACCTGTACTACTGAAATTAGATCATTTTGATGCCCAAACATTAGAGAATCTGATGTTTGTAGTTTAGTTAGTGTCAGTTATCTATTTCAGAAAGTCAATAATCTCCTGAAAGATGCTGTCAAAAGGTATAATCTCCAAAATCTAACGTATCCCCGTGAATAGTTTCTTGTTCGTAGTTTTGCTGGGCTTGTGAAAATAGTTTTGTTATTGTGTGTATTTGACGTCCATTTCACTTTTCCTGGCAAGCTCAATCTCCGATTAGATTATAAAAATAGACATAAGAAATTCACCTGACCCATGGCATTGATTTTCATAGTTAAATGTACAGCGACCGAGTTGAATGTAATTTCTGCCATTGCGTGATTAGCCTTTCTGGCATGTGTAGCGCGCAGGACTGAGTTGTCAGTTAGCAGTATATAAACTCGTGTACGAGGAGCAGGTCACATCTCTGACACTGTTCCATCATATCTCAGGTATGTGTATGTTCTCACGCCCGCCATATTAAGTCAGTTTAACTCAGTGAATTTTGTGAATATCAGTGTTCATGTTGTAAAAGTGAAATTATAATTTACCCAGTGAAAGAATTAAGGTAACGTAAATATCATCTGTCATTGCCAGACAAAAGAGTGTTTGTGATTGAGTTATTTGACATCTCTGACGCTGTTCCATCATATCTCAGGCACAGTGTGTGTGTTAGCTGGATACCCGACAGTCACCAGGGGACCAGTAGCTGCATATCAGCTGGCTGTCTTGCAGGATGTCGTTCATTCGGCACGATTAAATTGTGCGAGTCCAGACCCTGGGAACTAGGCCCGTACACACTCGCAGTGTGTCGGACTGCAACCGACCCTAACAGTGCTCTTCGTTTGTTGTGGTGACACCAGTGTGACACCCAGGGGCACTCCTTACAGTTATATGAGCCAAAGTGTTATTGTTGTATATGATTGGGGATAATTATCAGAAATATAGTTATCCCATGTTGAGTAATGAACCCTTAAATATTGATAGTACCAGCATTAATGTGTTATGTGGGTTGAGTACATCATTCATATGTACTACTAACTGAAGGAAAAGTGTCATGTTGTTCATTCCGAAATAACATGATGTTGTAAATAATACCTTAATTTGAGATATTGTTAAGTGTGTCATATAACTATCTGCATTGACAATGAAATAATATAATGTAACCAAGAATTGAAGATATATTTTGCTACTTGTAAAAATGAGACCTAAGGGTCCAGTCCTAACTGAGCTTGTAAAATAACCATCTTATTTGTCAAAGAAATAATATAACAGTTGTTTAATGAGGTAATAAGTAATTGAAGATCTATTTTAAGAGTTGTAAAGTAAGACCTAAGGGGTCCAGTCTTGTCTGAGTGCACTTATTTCACATCTTGTTCACTACATATGTTAATAAATATTGAATTGGTAAGCTACGAGTATCACCGCTCTATTCCTTCTACCCGTTTGTTCTCAGAAAACAACTATTGTAACTCACGTGCCTAGAAGCTCACTAGCACGCTGCCTAACAGTTCAATGTGATATGTTATACTCTAATAAAAGTCTGGATGGTGGCAGGCTACCGTTGTAAGTATAATAAGTGTTATAATAAGAATGACATGGTTTACCCAGACTAATCCATGGTATAGAATATAACTAAAGCATGATAATAAATTGAGAGAAAGAAAGGATAAAAAATTCAGAAAACTCACTAATATATATGACAGAAGGAATAAAGTACAGTATAGAAAAGAATATTGACTTAAAAAATATAAGCAAAGAAATATAAGAAAGATACTTATAGTCAGAAAGACTATGAAAATTAGATTAATAGAAAATATAGATATGAAGCAAGTATATACTGTAAGTACAGTGACCCCTCGGTTAACGAACTCAATCCGTTCCAGAAGGTCGTTCGTTAACCGAAAAGTTCGTTAACCGAAACCATTGTTTCAATGGGTTTTTGGGTAATTGGTTCCAGCTCACCGAAAATTTCCTAAATTCAACAAAAATGGTAGAAAAGTTCACTTACTTTGAGATGTGTATGTAGAAGGCTCCTGGATGATGATGATGATGATGATGATGATGATGATGATGAAGATGATGATGTGCATTTGAAGTGGGAGGTGGAGGAGGAGAAGGGAGAAGAGAAGGCATTGGGGTGGAAGAGAAGTCACCCCATGGCGCCATTTCACCCATAAAGTTTTAGTTCTCTTGGTGTAATTCAAGATTATTTTCTTTAAATCAACACTGCACTGCATTATATATTGTCAATATGTAAAATAAATTTCAAAATGACCAA